TTTTTTTTTTTTTTTGAGACAGAATCTTGCTCTGTTGCCCAGGCTAGAATGCAGTGGCCCGATCTCGGCTCACTGCAGTCTCCACCCTCTGGGTTCAAGTGATTCTTGTGCCTCAGCCTCCTGAGGAGCTGGGATTACAGGCATGCGCCACCACGGCCGGCTATTTTTTGTGTGTTTTTAGTAGAGACCGGGTTTCACCATGTTGGCCAGGCTGGTTTCAAACTCCTCACCTCAGGTGATCCTCCAGACTCACCCTCCCAAAGTGCTGGGATTACAGGTGTGAACCACTGCACCCAGCCTAAGCCTGTAACTCCAAGGAAAACAGTTCAGAGTACTTGTTGCCAATTATAAAATTCAAACTTTCCAACAAAAATTTGAATCTTGAAAAGTTCTATCCGCCATCATGAGCTTGACAGGTTCCCAAACATGTAAAGACTTTTCAGATAAGATCAGTGGTGATATTAAGGATGTAAGTTTTTTATCATTGTTTAATGTATGACATGCATCAACATTTGGAAAATATGCATAACTTAGAACATCAATATCCTCCAAATGACCAAGGCATAATGTCACAAAATCCAGAGTATTAAAACTTTATTGATAAGTTTCAGATTGTACATTGTAGCTAACCCTTAAGAAACTCCCACTTATTGCCAGGTGTGGTGGCTCATGCCTGTAATCCCAGCACTTTGGGAGGCCAAAGTGGGTGGATCATGAGGTCAGGAGATCGAGACCATCCTGGCTAACACGGTGAAACCCCCCATCTCTACTAAAAATACCAAAAAATTAGTCGGACGTGGTGGCGGGTGCCTGTAGTCCCAGGTACTCAGGAGGCTGAGGCAGGAGAATGGTGTGAACCCGGGAGGTGGAGCTTGCAGTGAGCTGAGATCGCGCCACTAGCCTGGGCGACAGAGCAAGACTCCATCTCAAAAAAAAAGAAAAAAAAAAGAAACTCCCACTTACCGACTTTTGATGTAGTACCTAAGAATATCCACACTTCTCTGAAAAAGCTATTAAAATACTTCTCTCAGCCAGGCACAGTGGCTCACTCCTGTAGTCCCAGCACTTTGGGAGGTTGAGGTGGGCGAATCACGAGGTCAGGAATTTGAGACCAGCCTGGCCAACATGGTAAAACCCATCTCTACTACAATACAAAAATTAGCTGGGTGTAGTGGCATGTGCCTCTAATCCCAGCTACTCAGGAGGCTGAGGCAGGAGAATCACTTGAATCAGGGAGGGGGAGGTTGCAGTGAGCTGAGATCATGCCATTGCACTCCAGCCTGGGCAATAGAATGAGAATCTGTCTTGAAAAAAAAATACTTATCTGTTTTCTGACTACATGTCTATGCAAGACTAGATTTTTTTGTTGTATTTCTAACAAACAGATTGATTGCAAAGCAGATATGAGAATCCACCTGTTTTCTATTAAGCCAGACAATTTAAAGGATTTGTAAAAATGTAATAAAATGCCACTCCTCTCTAGGTATTTCTGCTCTGTAATTTTATCACAAAACCTTTTATTTATAATAAATAATAATATTTTATTTTTATTTATTTT